TGTAATGAAACAAGTCATATAAATGGTTGAATGTGAAACTGATGATGTGCCCTGTAAACTTTCACTCAAACCAACAATAAAAACCTTAAAAAAAAAAAAAAAAAGAAAAGAAACATAGCAGTTTAGATAAAACAGGATCTTTCAATATGCTGTTTACAAGAAACCTGTCAAAAAGATGGAGGCAGCCTAAATGTCCATCAACAGAAGAATGATTAAAAACTATGGAATACTACAAACTGTTGAAGACTAATGAATCTGTGAAACACTTCACAACACGGTTGAACATGGAGGACATGCTAAGTGAAATTCGTCATAAAAGGACCAATGTTGTATGAGACCAATGTAAGATGTTTTTTAAAAAGTTTTCTTGATAAAAGAAATATCTATGATGATTACAGAGGGAGAAGAAAAATTATTCATGGGCTAGAGGGTAGAAACATGCTAACATGGGTGATGGGGCAAGCAACACAAGGTTAGCAGAGGAAAGATGAAGCGGGAGACAGGAATACAGTAGTTAAAGTGAATAGAGGTAAATACTGTTAACTGTTGGTACATGGAGAGGATTGTTGTTGCCATGGAGTTGGTGCCGACTCATCGCATCCCTGTACAGGGTTTCCAAGACTGTAAATCTTTATGGGAGCTGAAAGCCTCATCTTTCTCCCACAGAATAGCTGGTAGGTTTGAACTGCTGACCCTGAGGATAGCAGCCCAATTCGTAACCACTACGCTACCAGAGCTCCAAAGCAAAGTATATAATTTGTTGAATGTAAAACTGATGATTTACTTCACACAACCAAAAATCATAAACCTAGCAATGTTGTCTATCGGATATAACAGCGAAATTAGGACATTTCAAAATAATAAACAAAATGACAAAGCTTACCAAAAAAAACCCCAAAACACTAAATATACTGAAGAGGCAAATAAATGGAATTGGACAGAGAACCAACAAGAACAGATAACTTGAGATTAACATACAGGACAATATCACCAAGAACTCAACCCACATATGAAAGTATTAAACAAACCTTCAAAACTGAAAGTAGGGAATCAGAAGTTTACAATAACAACAAAAGCCATGGAATAATGTAGATAGAGTTTCCAAATGAACAGGAAATCAACTAAGTTCAAGGAAAACAAACCTAACTATAACCCTAAAACTAAACCAAGCCTCACTTCTAGCCTTAACCAAATCCCTACCCCTAACACTAAACGAGGAATCCTGGTGTGCTGCTGTGGGCTAATGAGTCACATTGCAAAGCTGTTTGAACTGTAAGGTTAGTAGTTCAAGCTCACCAGCTGCTCCTTGGAAACCCTATCCAGAGTAGCTATTGGTCGGAATCAACTCAACGGCATTTAACAACAACAGCAAATGAAGCCCTAGACCTAGCCATAGTCCTAAACCTAATTTTTGATCCTACCCTGCCCCCCAAAGACTGGTGGGAAGATTCTAGGGTTTTCTTCCACTGTATTCTGGACAGTTTTCTTCATTTATCAATGTTTATGGTCTTTCCTCTCTTGGCTTATCTTTGAAGTCTCCCAACATTCCTTAAAATGGTTGATCTAAAACTTGTTTTATGTGAAGTAGTATTCTTGTAAACTTGTTGCAGTGCTTCAGTGATTTGGAGAGATGTTCACTTGAGTTTTGTTAATAACTAAACTCAAAATACTTTTTTGATGGCACAAATTCTCCTTTTAAAAACAAAAACACCTTATCAAGACCTTGAGAACTCATCTGCAGCCATCCATTCATCAGAGACATGTTTAAACATGTTTTGTTTGCAGTAAACTCAGGAGTGCATGAACTGGAACCCTAGTAGCGGTACTTTTGAACTGCCCTCATAGAGCATAGGAACTAATGTTATTTCATTAAATATGGTCTATATAATGTACTACTATATATAGTAGTAGAAAACTTGCCAGACAAATTATGCAACCATTAATTGTGAACCCTGGTATCAGTGTTGTTAAAATATGAAAAAATGTGTACCTCAGAATAGGTGAAATATATCAAATGAACTTTTGTATTATGAAATTTAGTATTGAGTTGATTCTGACTCATAGCGACCCTGTATAGGTTTCCCAAGGAGCAGCTGGTGAGCTTGAACCGCCGACCTTGCAGTTCAAACGGCTTTGCAGTCTGGCGCGGAGGCACCGTTAATTTCCCTTTATGAATATGGGCAAGGAAACTAACAAGCCTTGCCCAAATTCGTGAAACCAGGTGAATTTTTTCAAACCAGGGGCCCCTCCCTGGTTTGAAAAAACCAGCCTTCCCTGCCCACTTTAGACCTGTCCGGACCTGTAGTTGCTGCCAAGGGAGCTAAGGCTCCTCCCCAAACATAAACCCAAAGATCTTGGAGACTTTCTAGATCTGGCCTTTCTTCCTTTCCTCTTGTCTCTTTTCATCAGACTCTGCCTTTGCTCTGCATTTGTTTTCCACAAGATTAGGCTAGTTCCAGAAAAAGAGTTCCCATCCAATGGCTTCTCCCTCTCAGGAGCCAGGGCTCCTTCCCTGTGGGGCCTGTGACATGGTTTTCCGTTCCTGGGCCCTACTGGCCACCCACACCCAACACTTCTGCATTGGCCGCGCAAGCCAGGAGGTGACACTAGGAGCTGGGCCCTCAACTGCCACTGAACCAGGGGGCCCCACGGTAAGGGCCACGACCTTGGGTGGGTATTCAGGCCATCCTAACCCTTAGGATTCTCACTCTACACCATTCCCAGGTTGTGCCACAAGAATCCCAGGGCATCTCAGACCAGGAGGCTAACAAGTCGGCTTTAAAGAGCCTAACAGAGGAGGTATACCTGTTTTTTCACGGGCACGAAAACCTTAGTGACCTTCCAGAACCTATAAATGATCAAATAATGGCCACAGAAGCCAAGTTCGCTGTTATCTCCAGGTGCAGCGTCTGCGGCTGTCCCTGCAGCTGAGAGAGTTCACCACCAAGGGGTCAGAGGTGCAGACTCTGGACCCCACCTCCAATGCCGCCAGAAGCCCGAACGAGAGGCTGCAGGCGCTAAATTGGAATCACGCAAGGCGCGTGGCAGAGATCGAGGCTCACGGCCGGGCCCTGGAGCTACATGGAGAGGGTAAGAAGTGGGGTATTTTAAGTCCGGTCTCGTCGGGTCCTTGGCTTAAGGCTGCTTGCACCCGTTCTGCCTGGCTCCCTTGTTATTGTTAAGTGCCATCGAGTCCGGTTCCCACCCATAGCGACCCTGAACAAACAGCGTTTCCGAGGCTGTAAATCTTTACGGGAGTAGAAAGCCTCATCTGTCTCCCCTGGAGCAGCTGGTAGTTTCGAACTGCTGACCTTGAGGTTCGCAGCCAGATTCGTAACCACTACGCTACCAGACCTCCTTGCCGGGCTTCCTTACTCCCTCAGAATTAAGTAGGCGCCTCCAAGGTATGGCCGGGACTCGGTGTGGAAGATCCCGCCTATTCGGCCTGGAGCGGGAGCTTCGAGAACTCCGGATTGAAGCCGGACAGACTCGGGGAGCGCTAGAGGCGTTAGAGGGACGCGTGCAGCAGCTACAGCCCGACACCCGGTGAGCGTCTGGAGAAGCGAACCTTGAGCGCGCGAGTACGAATCCGACGGTAAAGCAGAGGTACAGGTCCTGAGCGCTGCTGACCCTCAGCTCTCAGGTCTCTGTACCAGCTGAGATACAACGGAGGCGGGGCGCTGGGCGGGAGTTTGGGAGGAGCGCGAGACCTGGCGAAGGCAGACATAGGCGGAACTGGAGGAAGCCCCGCCTTTTGTCGTGACTCCTTTTCCCGGCCCATCACTGCGCAGTCCGGGACTGAAAACCTTTCCAGAGGCTGAACTCAGTTGCCCCGTGGTACCGGCGAACTCAGGGACCTTGGCTGTCGAAATCAGGTGAGGTCCGAGGTCTGCGGACGGGTTTCAGGCGAAGCACTTACCAGGCGTATAAAGGTCTGTCTTCCTATTCTTCCTTCCTAGTGCCCTGCGTGAAGCCTACGTTCGCGGTGGGGGCCGGGACCCTGGCGTTCTGGGCAAGATGTGGCAGCTACAGATGGACGCGTCAACGCTGGAGTTGTGGCGCACGCAGGCCCGCAAGGGTAAACAGGAGGAGCGGCAAGCCAAGAAAGCCTCTGGGAAGTGGTCTTAGTCCTTGGAGCAGAAATGGGCGTTAAGGAGGGCGTGGGAGTGGAACCACCTGAGACTCAGTCTTTTTGGAAGTGGCTAGAATGAGCTGATAGTTGAGTTTGTCCCAAGATTTATAAGGCTGGAGAGTTGGTCGGAGCCGGAGGCGCCTAGCCACTTTTAGACATAACAGGTTCGACTTGTTCCTTGCAGAACGAAGGCCAGGTGCCACCTCGGGGGAGCTTCTAGTAGTGGAGGCTGAGAACCGGCGCCTGGAGGCAGAAATTCTGTCCCTGCAGATGCAGAGGGGCTCGGGCCGAACGCCCTGGGGTCAGTGCAAACTGAGCCTTACCCTGGCCCTGCCTAAACCTCTCTAGCAGGGCGCGCACAGAGGAAGGGTATACAGGGACCACGCTTGGGAAGTGAGACTCATGTTTGTGCCCCTTGTATCCCCGTGACTCCACAAATTCATTTACTGTGTGGGCTCACCGGGTAGTGTTATCTCAGCCCAGTTTTGACTGCCTGCTCAGGAGGGTCCTAACTTTCTCTCTGCTTCTAGTGCCCCGGGATCTGTCACTCCTTGCCTGTCCCAGACCACGCCTGCGGGGTAGGGTCGATGTTGATAGTCCACGCCTCCCTCCGGTGGTGGCTCCCCCGTTGCCTCCGCTTCCACCCTCTACAGAGGCAGCGATTTTTGGTGGCACAGGAAAGGCTGTGAGGAATTTAGTGGGTGGAATAAGGTGGGATGGGGAGTGGGGACGCATCCTTGATCCTTGCAGTTGAGGGAGCATGGGCAGCTAGGAGGCTTTCTGGAGTTTGCCTCTGTTCCCTGACAGCAGCAGCTGCTTTCTGGAACCATGGTTAGGAACCTGGGCCTGGACCCACACCTTCTAACTCCATCTGATGTGCTGGGCCCTGCACCATATGACCCTGGGTGAGGCCTGGCCCCTCCTTTAACAGCCATCCTCACAACTGCTGCTTAAGGATACATACAATTGGGGAGCTGGATGGGAGGGAGGGTTAAGTGCCTGTGTACTTAGACCAGCATTTCCCAGGGCTGGGCTGGTCATTTTCTATGACTTCCTGCGGGGCCTTGAGACCTCTTGGATTTGGGTGCAGCTAATGACCGGTTTAGCCCGAGATGGACATGATACAGGAGGAACCACAGCTTTGCCCCCAGCCATTTGTCTGCCCCCACCTCCAGCTCCTGGGCCGTTGGGCAACTGTGCCATTCTTGCCAGCAGACAGCCTGTGCCTAGGTCAGTAGATGGAATTTATGATTTTGGGACTCTTGCTACAATTGAGGCTTGTCTTCCTATTTTTCAAATAATGTCCTTACCCTGGCAAAGTTTTCTCATCTGAATACAGGACCATTCGTTCTGAGGATTGAAATTAAAGGCATGTAATCCCCATGACATCTTTCTGGTTGGTCTAGATTGCCACCCTCACGATCAGTATCCTTGGTCTGTGAACTGCAAGCCTGGCAGGGATTAGCATGGGCCAAGACACCACAGCCAAAGGCCTGGGCCTCATTGGTACTATTTGATGGGGACCAGCGAGTGCTAAGTGGTCGATGGCGCCTCCCACTTAGGTCCCTTCCAGTAAACTCCAACCTGAGCTTGGGGCAGCTGAGTATGAGACCACAGGTAAATATGAAGG